TGCAGAATGCTGTATGTGCAGAGTTCAACACTAGATGACTGTTTTTTAATTCATTCAAAACAGAAAGTATCTCCATGCTCACCTCAAAGGACCTATTTGTATGTTTTGGTATTGCTACATAGGTAGCATTAGCATTATCAGCTGTTTACTTTCCAGTCTTGGCAACAGCTTCAGCCATTGTCGCTTTTACAAGACAAAAGGTTATAAGACACTCTCTGAGCAGCGCTACTTCTTCAGGGCAGACTGAGCACTGCAGTGACTCGGAATTGGAAAGTGGCAAGCAAGTTCAACCGTGCCAGGGCTAGCTGGTTAGCATGCTAACTTCAGTAGAAGAAAAGATATAGTGATAGGTAGAAGAAAAACAAGAAGGTTGCTTTCCACCACTGGAGACAGCTCTTGGCGAGTAAATTAATTAAGTTTCATGCTGAACTTGCAACATTTCTTCCAGACTGGTAAAGAAACAGCTGTTAATACTAACAGTGGCTATGTAGCAAAAATAAAACAAATAGAATCCAAAAAGTTGAAGTCATGCACCTACAAGCAGGATCGAAGATTGAACCCTCCAGTGCACATATACAGAGAGAATTGTCTTTTCAGTGAAGCAGGAAACATCTTGTGTTCTGTGCTTAAACTTTTAAAGTACAAAAAAATATTTGTTGGATTTTGCATTGACATTTTGTGGGGAAAAAAATATAGCCAGCAAAAAAATGTTATTGAAAACAAAGTATTTTCTATGTCTTAAAACATGTTGAACACCTAACACTTACGCCCAGCATGCCACAAAATGCTTTGAAACCTTTTCATTCATCCCCAGATATCACTGAAAGTATTGTTGCTGACAAAACATGCAAACTGCCTAGAAAAAGATGTGTGCAACATATTGTATCATTTAAAGCTGGTTACACAACTGAAACACAACAAAGACAGTGGTAAAACAATGAACCTATCCATTTTTTTTTTTTTTTGCACAAATGTAAATGCTTTCTCAGATGAGTGTGCAGTAAGCTATCCACTTTATGTCCCCTACAGTACAATACCTGCAGTCAAGTTTATATGATGAATAAAAAACAACCTAAGAAAAGATACACCACCTCTGCCCCCTTTTGGACCTGGTGAGTCCTTGAACCAATTCCATCAAATTGAGTCCTCAGGGGTCATGTCACCAGCTAATACTTCTATCTCCATGAAGCAGGTAGAGAGAGCTGACAGTAACATGGTGTGTAGTGAAACCCCAGCTGAAACACGCATGAAGTGACCCAGTCAAGCCTGAAACGAGGACACAGGTCAGTGAGTGAGAACAGTGACTGCTGCAAAGTGAACATGACAGTAGTTTAGCCCACTCGGAGCGATGGGGATGATGTCACCCTTTGGTGTAATGCAGGTCAGTCAGTATGAGTCACTATAGACACAAAGTAGTTATTAGAACATATAGTACATTTTAGTCACTTGTCATTGTTATGCAACATACTTTGCTTTTAATTCATCCTTGATGTGGAGATGAATTTCTTGCTAGGGGTCTCTGATCTAAATGAAGTACTCTCAATCTCTCAAAATGTGATTAAATATTTATAACAGCTGATTTTTTTTTTTTTTTTAAAGGACATTGGAATATTATGGAAATGTTTAGTGCAAATAGTTAGCCCTATAATGAGCCCTTTACCTATTTGTGTCATTCCACGTCTTTACCATTCCCTGAAAATGCAGTTTACTTTATGCTACTTTTTCATTATTGTGTCCCAGAAAGCAAGAATCAATAATTACATCCAGTTATGTATAAAAATGTGTTTCCAATTAGTTTTTAAAAAAAATAAAAGCGTGTCCTTTGCTGCATTTTGTTTTTCACCAAATTAAATAGACTCAGCAGATGAAAATAGCTAAACAGACAGATAGACTTGCTGCTGTGCCCTGTTATTTTGCTACAGTTAGTCATTTATTTCACATCTTTCCAGATCTGTCACTCACACAATCAGCTTTTTCACAACTCTCCTCCTTCACAAACAACACTGGGCAGCTTGACATCATGCCTCGGCCAAACTGTGTTTCAGAGCTCGTGCTCCAAATGACAGATACAGTTTCTCTGTTGTTGTACAGAGAGAGAGATTTCATGTCAGGGGACTGACACTTTTCTTCTGGTGGGGGACTGCAAGCCTTGTGGAAATGAGAGAGAGTGAAGTTGTTGTTTGTTTGTTGGTGTACACAGTATATGTGTGCTGGTTTGTGGGTGCTTTCAGGTGGGAATGTGTTTGAGCTGTGAGTGAGTTGAGTTAAATATTGTTAACATGTTTCTGCTTTGTCAGCCTCCTTTTTATCTGCACAACCTGGATCTGTTGTTGTAGACTGCATCGTCACACAATATTGCCACAGCTTATTATTACACCCACATAACAACTTTGCATTTAAAATTTGGGGATTTTGAAAATGTTATTTGAATGCTGAATAAATATGCTAATATTGTAGCTCATGAAGCTCTTTAAACATTACTGAACAGTATCAGGGTGTGCTGGTTGTCTGTTATCACAACATATCCATAATTAGTAGATAATTCATCAAAAAAATAACGTAGCACTGTAAAAAAAAAAAAAATAGTTAAATTAAATAAAAACTGTGTAATTTTGAAACAATGTGGTTATCAGTCAGTGAATGAAGATTTTTTTCCCTGTTCACTGAATTTATGCAAGGGCACTGGGTTTTATTCTGAATAAAGCAGAGAGCAGATTCACGGAGACTCACTGGAGCTTATCTTCAGATGGCCTTGAGCAGAAGCCTATGTTTTAGAACATTTCAAGACAAAAGCAGATGATTTCTTTGTTGTATATAATGACAGGCTGACACTGTTAAAATGCATACTGTCAGTTACTGCATTTGCATGAACAGAGACACACTCATAGAAACACACTGCATCATATTGTATATCTAAATATACATTTGTGCAAAAACACTGACAAAAATAAGTGTTTTCAGATGCACCTCGGAGAATACATTGGTGCACAGTGACAGAGTGCAACAGAAGTGCAGCAGTAATTATCATCTATCTGTGCAAAGTAATCTGCATATTAAGTACTACTTTTTTCCACATTTACTCAAGGGTAAATGGGAAGGAGTAGAATTGCATCACAACACAGAGGAAGGGAATTTTATTGACTTTAAAGACAAGAATCACAGGTATAAATAAACAAATACTGCTCATTGGTTCATTTCACAGTGGCAAAGCAATTTGTTCTGGATTCGCTGAAACCATCTGCTTTTAATTGTATTTTTTGGCCATTGTAGCATAATGAATTGTACCTGACACACTCAGCAAAGAGTCAGCTTTAATAAAGTGCTTGGTGAAACTTCACTTTAGGTGGTAATTTTCTTGTACTGAGCCTGAAAATCAATTTGGAAACCAACAGCTTAAAGCTGCTGTTTTCAACACTGGGTCTGGCACAGCCAACAAAAGCAAACAGGAGTTTTATCTCCTACAAATTGTCAATACAGAAAGATGAAAAAACACAAAATCAAAATATACATTATTTATGGTTAAAGAAATTAAAGGTTCATTGTTCATGTGTTATACACCATAGAAATATGATTTCTTTTACACTGTAAAACACTAAGCAGAGGTGACTCAGTCTGGCAAAGGTGCCCACACCTTGAATGAGGTAGTGAAACAATACTCATCATAGGCCTCTGCACTGCTTTGGTCAATTTCACCTACATATTATATAAGATGCTCAACATTATAATGGCTATGAAAATACCACAGTTCCACCTAGATGTTGCATCTGATGCTACCTGTAACCTCTCATAAGAGGTAAGATTTTGCAGTGGTAATGGTTAGCCAATGGTAAAAACACAGTCTGGACGTGTTCATGGTAAATGATATTAACAGGCATTTTGCCGTGTGTGAGGGTTAAGTGAACTGAAATCTCTTATCTCATTCAGCTGTCATATGGCCTAGCCAACCCGTTCACCCATCCACCTACGCCCGGACCTACAGCCTGGGAATCGAACAGTGTCAGCAGAGACCTGACAGTCATAGTTTGCCTGCCTCTTCTCCATCACCAGATTAAGCAAAACTACTGTACTTCTTGTGTTTCTATAGCAACAGTTCCCACTCATGTCTTCAGGATACTGAGCAATGCGGCGGGTGAAGGAGAGCTGCAATGACAGTCATACCTGAGCATTTTGATGTAGTCATAGTGGCTGTTGCTAAATGTGGGGTGGGGTGGGTGGGAGGGTCACATTGGTTAATACTCAGTTGATCAGGTTAAAAGAAGATCCACAGACTCATGCTTAGAGAAAGTGGTTTACATGAATTAAGTGAATACAAATAATGCAAACGTTAACTTGATTTTTACTGTTGTGTAAGTGTACTTGTCCTTGGCTATGTTGCTTTCCTCCCTTTTCCTTTTCTCTATCTTTCTCATGATTTCTCTCTCGTTCCCTCTCTTTTTCTCTCTCAGGTGTTGAGTGACAGAGGTGATGTGATGGCAGAGCTAGCAGGCCAGAAAGATCAGAGCAGAGTGTCTGCTGCACACTGAAACAACTGGATGCAACACAGTAGAGCCTATTCAGGTAGGACTGCATAGTCAGATTTGTAGGTTTCTGCATACTTTTGTGGGCAAGTTTAAGGATTGTCAAAGCTTTGCCAACCATTTAATGTTTCAGGACCTTGAAAATTACATTTGAAAGCATATTTTGAATGAAAACCTTCCTTTCATCCACTTTGACATGTTTTATGTATGAAGTTCAGAGAGGAAAATCATTGGCAATGAATGTTTAAAAGAAGAAGAAGGGGAAGAATAACAGAATTACTGCGACAAGTGAATTTTGCAGCACTTTAAAATGTTGATGTTAAAATTCCATGTCAGATTATGAACAGATAAAAGAAGAACAAACATTATACACAGCAGTCACACGATAAATATTGACTCAAAATGATTTGTCTGCTCCTAAAGAGGAATTTTGGACAGCACCTTTATCTCAAATGCACAACTGTCTTTGTCTCTAACTGCAGAATGGATTTCCCCAATTGCACTGAAGGGGTGTTTTCCACAAGCAGCGGTGATTATGACTCACTGGAGACCACTAAACGCCCTCCCAGTAAGATCCTGCTAACGCTGACCCTGTCTGTGGTGGCTATCCTGACTACATTCTTCAACTGCCTGGTGATCACAGCTATCGCAGTGACCCGCAAGTTGCACCACCCAGCCAACTACCTCATCTGCTCATTAGCAGTGACTGATCTGCTGGTGGCTGTGTTGGTCATGCCCTTCAGTATCATCTACATCCAGAAAGAGAGCTGGGTCATGGGCCAGGTGGTGTGCACCATCTGGTTAAGTGTGGATATCACCTGTTGCACATGCTCCATCCTGCACCTCGCTGCAATCGCCATCGACCGTTACAGGGCCATTACTGATGCAGTGGAGTACTCTCGCAAACGCACAGGGGCCAGGGCTGGCGCGATGGTGGCAGTGGTGTGGCTTTTGTCCATCCTCATCTCGCTTCCTCCTCTGCTGTGGCGGCACTACAGCGGGGATGCAGACCACAAAGACCAGTGCATCATCATCCACCATCACATGGCCTTCACCCTGTACTCCACCCTTGGAGCCTTTTACATCCCCCTGCTGCTCATCCTCATCCTCTACTACAAAATCTACCGGGCCGCTCAGACCCTCTATATGCGCAGGGAGGCCAGCCGAGCCAGCCGTCACTCATGCATGACCAATGGGAGCATGATCCCCTCATCCTACCCTGCTGGAGATGGTGATGCTGATGAGGGGCCTCGAAGTCCGGAGCCCGTAAGCCCACCAGAGAAGTCTTTCTCTGAACCTTCGACTGAGGAACCTCTGCGCGAACGAGTACGTGTTTCGGTGAAGCCTTTCCAGTGCAAGTCGCGTCGGTATGAGTCGCGTAGCGAGTCACGTAGCGAGTCACGTCGGAGCCAACTTTACCAAGGACCTCGCATCTCTGGCTCGCGGGAGCGCAAAGCGGCATCCACGTTGGGGTTGATAATTGGCGCTTTTGTCATCTGTTGGTTGCCATTTTTTGTCAAGGAGGTGATCGTGAACACCTGCAGTGCTTGCAGTACTTCAGTGGAGATGGCTGACTTTCTGACGTGGTTGGGCTATCTCAACTCGCTGATCAACCCCCTCATCTACACCATCTTTAATGAAGACTTCAAAAAAGCTTTCCAAAGTCTCGTTAGGTGCAATCAGTACCTCTGATGGTTGCAATGATACACGGTCATGCCAATACACCATCTAATGTACACACATAACAGGGAGGCGACAAACTAATAGCTGGAGGAGGTCAGAGAATACTGACTGAATACTGATTTTGGTGTGCTTGAGTATCATCTCACAGAGGAAAGGATTGACACACATTTCCAGACACTCCATCAGGCTCTTCAACAGCCTGAATGGCACCAGCTCAGCAAAGAGCTTCACAGCAAAGTTCCACATTGAAATCCAAGTCTTGTTATTAATAGAACATCCTGAGATCCCCTTGATGATAATTGGTGCGTGTGAAGGGACACTGACATGTTGGTTTTTAGAAAATGGGCCATCGCTGACCTTTTTGAGGTAGAGGTTCTGAGCATTAATGATCAGTCCCATTTAAAGGTCTTGAAATAGCTGACCATTAAGTCTGTTCCATGGAATGACCTCCCTTCTATCTAGTCCAAGCTGCTAGCTGAAATACAGAACATGTGTAAAATACCACAGCATACCAAGTTGTGACTTTCTGTGGCCATGATGTTATGGGGGGGGGGGGACTTTTACATGACTTACTGTCAGAGTAATTGTTAACAGAAGTAGTTGTTGAATGTGGTATGTATTCAGCCTCGCAAAACATTCCAACAAATATAAAACATAAATTTGTAGATTGCTAAAGCTCCATGTTAAATAATGGTAATGATGCTGACTTTATTCATTTGACAATCTGAGAATGGGAAATTATTGCTTGCTTTTCATGAACTTCACAACACTAGAACTTAACATACCATGTATTAAATGTCTCAGATTAACAGCTAAGAATACCTTAAGTGTGAAGAAAATGTTTTATGATCTGGGACCAAATCACATATTGAAATATGAAAATACTTGTGACCAAGTTTAAAGAATATGTAATTTTCAGTTCGAAATCCTAACTGGAGATGTTCTATAAAACTCTGATCTCTAATTGAAATTTTTTGCACAAACCTTTATGTTCCTTTCAGTTTTTCTCAGTATTATTTATTTGTTCATCCTGGAACCCCTAGACTTCCTATCCCATCCCTCTCCCACACCATAGCCAGGTTAATGGATGTGAGAACCACTGGAGGAGAGATCCTCATTACGTTACTCCCACTCAAGTACTTGGAATAGAACTACTATTTCTTTACTGCCTCCGAGAGGAGACATGATATGTTGATGGAAATTTTGAGGATGAATCAAGTGAGAGGGTGTACTGTACGCCAGGGAGATAATACAGTGTCATATATTTACATACTCTCTGACAGTATGACCAGTGGTTGTATACTGTTTCTTTCTTTGTCTCTCTGTCTCAATGATCAATAATAAACAGTCCACAGCTGAATCATGTCCCCCTGTTCTTGTCTCAGTTAATTAGAAGTTTCTGAGTGATGATTTGGTGTGTGAGGCGACTACAGTATAGTTGATATGTGTAGGGAGAGAGTAGTAGAAGGAATAACAGAAAGATAACTCACTGATAATCTGTACATCTGAATGACTTGATGTGATATACTGCAATCCCATATTTCTATCTGGTGACATTCTGCTGTTAAATGTGAACACAACAATGGTTACCATATTCTGATATGATGACACCCCCTTGTGGCCGGCAGAAAAACTGCAGACTTTCCAGTTGGCTCTGATAAACTGCATCACTCTCTTTCACGGCTAAAACAAAGAAATACGGTGTTGATAATTTGGCTTCACCAAAAAAAAAAAAAAAAAAGAAAAAAAAAGGCATTAATGTGAATGTCCTCTCTGGCTTATGGGCCAAAAACAAAATACCTAAATTCACTCTAGCTATAGCCCACATCTTGCCCAGCTTTTTCCTCTGGCTTACTGAACGTGTTATTGTGAAGATCATGTTTTAATGCTGTTGTCCATTTTGAAAATGAGAGAAGAAGAACGTCACTTTTATTTCAACCAGTAACCCGTTGGTGAAACACATGGTGTGGGGACCATCTGCTTCTGTTTTACCTGTCGGTAAGGACAAAATTTACTGATGGATAAAACAAAACTCCTAAAACTCTTCATTACTACATCACTGGAACACACGACTGTCACAGAGGTGCAACTGCCAGGAATAGAAACCGTCTCAACAGTGGTTTGCCTCTGAACCACCTATTATAACCTACAGTGTCCAATTTGTTTCAAATGTCTTCACAGAGTTTGAAATATAAAACATGTAGACTAGAATAGAAAGTAACCATGTTCATGTACACACAGGCTTGTAAGGTTCTCTCACTAACCCATTCGGCCCACGTCTGTTATGAAAGGGTCTTACTGCCTAGTCTTTCTCCATAGTACACAAATAACTAGTGCAGTATAACTGTGTACACCCCCGAGGAAACATCAGTGCAGGCATAAGGCACAGACTAGGCAAAGTCTTTTCTCTTTCTCCAGCCTCTAGCTGAGTTGTGCAGGAGCTTAAAGAACTGTTGTTCTCAGGGGTAAAGTTTGTCTCACTAATAGTAGCGCTTTTCCGATGTTAATGTTACAGTTCATATCTTCAGTGACAGTTTGCTCAAAGGGCTCTTTGGAGAAGGTTTTGAAAACTACAGGCAAGAGGTCTTAGACATTTTCAGGAGTCATAGTAGGAAAAGCACAGGTGAAAAAAAATCCATTTAACTGCTTCAGCCTTAGGGTCCTGCTGTTGTACATGCTGGCTCACTGTCACTCTGTCTGCTGAGTGGCATACTTAAATAGAACAGAGCCATTGGTAATGTTATATAACACCTGTGCTATTCCTTCTATGACAAATCTACTGTGAAAGAGGTCTCTTATACATGAATAGGAATTTAATTATTACCATCTTATCTTCAAAATGAACCCATTTTCTGCACAGGAATCGTTAATTGTGCTGTCTTACCATTTAGGCAGCAGTACTCAAAGGTTTGGTTTTTGAGAGACTGAAAGTGAAAATTTCAACTCTTCTATATAGTTTGTTCACATTTTGCCAAAATTACAGTCACTTCCTTCCTGAGCATGTCATTTTTTTAATTATTTTTTTTATTTTACCTTTATTTTACCAGGCAAGACATTAAGAACAAATTCTTATTTACAATTTATCACTGTGATAAACCTGTGAACTTTTATGTTGTCAAGGGACCACATTGTATTGTTGTCCTGTATTGATTGTTTGATCTCGGTCTGATTGCCTGCTAAAACATTACATCCATGTCAAAAACTGGAGTATCAAAATGGATAACTGGTTAGCAACAGGAAGAATTAACAGAGTCAAGAGACAACTGGTGAACCGACAAGTGATCTCTCCCCATCAAACAAAATAGAAAAACTGAGCTTCCCATGCTTTGAGTTCAATCCTGAATGTTCGTTTGTATCATTAAAATCAAAAGTGCTACTAGAAGGCATTATTTGGCCATAGCCAGATTGTTACAGTGGCTGATGTGGGCCACCAACATTTTTGAGATTTTCAAGTTGGCCATGAGTTGGAAAAGGTTGGGAACATCTGTGCTAAACAGTCAAAGTCTCTGCAGTATTGACGAGCACTGCCAGTTTTAAAGCTGGGAAGATCGATTAGTTTGCAGATGACATTATCAAACTTAATTAATGTTAAGGTGACTATGAAAAATGTCAGGGCAAAAAAAGGGCACTCTGGAAAAAGCCATATTAAATAAATGAATGAACAAAACAATGGTAGCAGCAGAGGTACTATCAACTTAGAGAGTCAAGCATGAAACACACCATAGCAGAGATGTTGGCTGCAACTCACAATCCAGCATGAAGCACACAGCAAAGATGTTAGCTGTGTCAAACATGGATTACACAGTAGCAAAGATGTTTGCAGAGTGCAACATGGAGCACACAGTAGCAGAGATGTTAGCAGCTACTCAATTAGCCAAAGAACGTTCCGACACACAGGTATGTGATGTACCATTGCAGTGCTGGTGGACTTACGTGTGCTTTTGTATTCATTAGGTGCTCGACATAGGTGACAGCCTTGCCATCCCTGATGAATCACTTTACTTGTTTTTAAGAGTTATCTGAATTTTAGCCTGTAACATTCAAAAAATGCTGTAAATTCTACTGTAAAAACTTTCCTTCATATTTAAGATAATATTTATCTGATATTTCACAAACAGAGAATTTGTTAGAAGAGAACTTAAATGTCAACCATTTATTTAAAAATTTTAAAATGAACTAAAGTTTGCAGTACTATAACAGTCAGAATTATAAATGAATAAATAAATCATACATATGAGGAAGAAGAGTTAAAAGATAGTTGTGTTGGAATAACTTTCTCAAACAAGTTTCAAGTCTCAGCAATTTGGTATTCATGGGAAACATGCAGCTCAACTACTGCCTGCAAGTAGGGCATCAATAAAACTTTAGGCCATGGTTATTAACTTACATCGTTTTATTGACAGATAACAATCGCGATATTCATAGTTTATGCTCAAGATAATATTTCTGCCTCAAAATGCCATTATGTAGCAATTTGACGTTTGTCTCTGTATACAAGGGCCAACAGGCCACAAATATTTGATGTTATTCTGTCAATAGGTCCCAATAGCTTAATTTTGAACAACCAGCCTTCGTGTTTTTAATCTTTAGGAGACATTCAAATGTTTGCTTTTTGTATATTGTTAATTACCTTTAAGAATAACTTTAAAATACGTTTGTAATTATGGTGTTGCCAGGTTGGTTGTGTTTTGTCGTGGGAGATAGGAGGATGCTACATTACAAACCTGGCAACTTTGGCTATGCGCTGGATACAGCAGCCAGCATGGCGGACAGCGAAAGTGATTTGGAAACAGACGGGCTTGAATCAGCCCTGGACACATTGTGTAGTAGCCACTGCAGCAATGAATCATCTCTGAAGAGCAAAGATTATTGCTCTGAGTTTTGTGAGGTATGTTGGACTCCATTTTGTTGGCTAGTCTACTGAGTCGGTGTCTGTTTATTGCTAACGCTACTAGCTTAGCTGGCTAGCATTAGCCTCCAGACTAGCTCTACTAATGCAGTTGTGTAGCTAGCCAAGACTGTGGCATAGCCCATCAGAAACAAAACAGAAATAGTCAACAGAATGATGATAGGTATAAACTGGGCTCCCGGCTAAGTAACTCCATGTAGTAACTCTGTTTGTAGAGATCTGGCATTTGATCATGCTTAGCTTTATAGCAAGTCCGC